ATGCGCTTCGTGAGGGACACGCGCACACTAGCACACACACGCAATCTCTCGCTCCCTCTCTCTCTGCCGTGCACGCGCTACGCATGCGCGCTCTTGCTCGCTCTAGATTCCGGGAGATTTTAACTAATTTGCGGACATCAGGGAGCCGCTATCAATATGCGGGAGACTTGGGATGTGTGTGGCGGCTGGTGGGCCGGCCCGCCGGCCGTCCTGGAGTACCGGCCGTTCTGTGATTCTCCAGATCACACAGATGGCCAGTCCGCCCCTGGCCTTACTAGTCAAGCTAGTAAGTTAGCCTGTTTACAAAGTTTGCGTCATGTTTCTGACATAGCTAATGTTAGTTAGGCTAACGTTACTTAGTTTCTTCCTGGCGTTAGTTTTTTCTTTTCTTCTTTTAACTATATTTACGTATGTTTATGCAAGTGTGAGTACTACAGTATGTGGTTTAAGATAGTATTGGTCAGTCGAATAATTAACTAACTTACGTAACTAAATCCTGAAGGACAATTCTCCCGCCCACGTGGGAATGGTAACGTTAGCAACATCTTTACGACAAGAAAGACTGATCAGTATAACTTGTGTTGTTTTCTAACTAAACATAATGATGTTTTGTTTGATTCGACAACCATGCTGCTAGTCTAGTTTAACTTACAGTGTTAGCTAACACATGCTGCTTCGCCTTTTTTACTCACTGAATTCAAGCATGTTCGACATGTTGAAATGTATCTAGCTACAGTAGATCGCCAAAGCTTTACATCTAGAAAGTTTAACTTTTGGTGTTCTCTTACAAAAATAACGAGGTATGTGTGTGTGTGTATATATATATATATATAATGTATATATGTGTGTATATGTATATGATTGTGTTTTTCTGAACATGGTTTTCTGTTGATCCACTTGTGAAAATGACTCGTTTTTTGAAGGGGTGAGCATTTTAATGTTATTGATTTTGCCTGGAAATTAATCAAAAAGTATACTTTATGCAAAATGTTCTTCTATTTTAGATGGTTCACATTGTTCAGTTTATCAACGAGGAGGATCTGCCATTTGCAGTGGTTCCGCAAGAGTGGCTCAGCGAGAGCATGTGCCATTGGCCCGCATTTAACCTCAGCAAAAAGACGAAGGCAACAATTTAGCCATCCTCTGCACACCTCCACACAGCACCGTGGAGAAACATCATTTTAAGTTCATGAAGGGAGCAGGTAAATGGGTCTGACTTGTGTATTTGATTTTCCTGTATTTCATCTGTGTAATTTATTTTCTGTTTATTGTGGATAACTGACTCTTTCATTCATTATTCCCTACTCTAGAATCTTGTAAGTCTCAAGAAAAAAAACTCTAGAAAGATGCATCGATTCCAGAAAACCAGGAAAATGCTGAACTGGTATGTAAAATCTATTGCTGTTATGCTGGATTTGTGATCCTGCCACTAAACTATACCATTTGTTAGATTTTAAAATTTCTGTTTCCTCTTTCTCGCAACCAGGCTTATCCCCAGTAATCCAGACTCCACTTCACAGAGCCAAGAGTTTGAGTACAAGTAAGTGATGTTATTTGTGAAGTTTTTTTGTCTTGGAAACTATTGCTTCTATTTGAAGTCGGCATGAACCGGAAGTTACAAACGACTTTTCTCCAGTGTTGTGACGTATTTAAAAATGAAACGGTATATTGAACGGAGGGCAGGGTTTTACTCTAGCGCTCCTCTTCTCCATCTCTGCTCATAGCACGGTTTGAGGGGAGTTGCCACGCCCTCGCGCCATAGCACATGACCGGAAGAGAAGAGAAGTCGTTTCGAGGGGGGAGGGAAGGGTAACGTATTTGATTAAAGATTATAAGGCTACATGAATTTTAAAAGAATAATGAAGTGCACAGATAAATCATTTATAATAAACACTACAATATTACATATAAAAATACGAATTGTAAAATCTTACTTCAAGAGCAGGTGAAGCAAGTTCAACAAACAATGTTGAAGACGTTTGCTTGCACTGAGCAATTAGGTACAACTTGCAAACAGCACCTGTGGTTGTCGGTTTAATTCCCACTGGGGCTACCTGTACATGTAGTAGACCTAGATATAAAGTAAAATTTAAGATTGTATACTGCATATATTACAGTCTGAATCCTTAAACTTTCACATTTTTTATTTATTTATGAGAAGCTTCAGAGAAATGTAATTTGTAACACTTTTTTGGATTTTCAGCTTGGTGTAGGGGATAAAGCATGTTTTAGAGACATGTTCCTGAAGACCATTGTTCAAAGTAAGTTGGATATTTTTTTTAGATTTAAGTAGCATTGCCGTTATAATGGCCTATTCTACTCCAGAGCTTTACTATAAATTACTACCACTTATCATATTGTTAGAAATGGCTTGTAAATGTAGTTATACTTTTTTTTATTTGGTATCTTGCACATTATTTGGTATCAAATATCCTCTTTACTTGTCATAATGTTTACTGGTAATTTGTTACCCTAGAGCTGTCCTTTTTATATGAACACTTATTGTAAGTGTTGTAATTTGCTTGTAAGGCTGTTTAACCAAAATTGAATTGGAAACCTGCATGTTAGTATATTGATTTATTTATTTTTCTGTTATGTTTCAGTGATCTGAAACATCTTGTTTAAATGACAGTTACTGTACTTTGAAATGTGGAATAAAAATGCCAATTGTAAATTTGTCTGGTTTGAGCAATCATTATTCTTGATAAACTGCATGTTATAAATAAAAAAAAAAATATAGCCAGAATAAGCGGCGGCAGAGCGCTCGAAAATAGCGTTTGCCTCCGGCGGGCCGCGGAAGGACGGCCTTCAATATAAAGCGCGGCGGAACGGCGGTTGGCCCGCGGGCCGGCCGCTTAACGAAGGCGGTAGGAAGGCGGCTGCCGCTTTTAAAAAGCGGCTGCCGCCGGCGGTGCGCCGTCCAACGTGTTTGCGATGTCGCCATTCTGACGCTTCTACTGCCGCCGGAGAACCGACGGTGGTCCGCCGACTCATTGCTATCTGGGATGTTTTGTTTATGCAACTGGCTGGTTTAGACCTAGTTTAGTCTAGGTTTACACCTGGTTTAGTTCTCTTTTAGACCTCCGTGAACTTGACCCCTCATCATGCTCAAATTCTTATAAAAATGTCAATCGCCTGATCTACATTTGTGCCGTTTTGTGATGTAAAGATTTCCATTTGTGCTGGTTCTGCTTTTAAACTTTTATAAACGCAACATGACATCATGACTTTGCGTAAACAATACACGTCACTTTCAAGTCAAGTGGCGTGTTATCTCTACGCATTTTCAGCTCTCCTCGTGTATGTCCACGCCGAAACGAACCTTCATCTTTTGTATGTGTACGCCTACGCCGTTAAATGTCCGAGTGATTCCGCGTATATGTCTACGCTGTTAAATGTCCAAGCGAAACGAAGCAAAATGAATATTTACATCTGTGGAGTGATATTTTTTTTTCCTAGGATGGTAGGGGAAGACTCATAAATGGTATTAACCCCAGTCACGGGTAGGTTTAGGGACGGGGTTGGGTCATATTTATATATACAGTAATGTAACGTTAAGTCAACGGCGTTGATAAACACGCTGAAAATTATGCGTGTTGATAGCACGCCAAAAATGGAAATTCGAATTGGCGTGTCATACATACGCCATTTCATGAGATCAGTCTTATAAAATGGAGCCTGGAGGCGTCCGCGCTTTTCCTCATCTGAGACGCGTGCACGTGTCTGTGGCGCACGCACCCACTGCATGCATAACATAAAAGAATCATCAATATCTCAAAACAGAAAACATGTCAAAAATGTTGTTTGCGCTATGACATATTTAGAGCAAAGAACTATATTAACAGGATTCAATGAATTGTATTATTCTCATATTTGATATATGAATTAACCGTATGGTCCGGACCTTTGATACACTACAGGCCAACAGTTTGGACACATTACTATTTCTAATGTTTTTGAAAGAAGTTTCTTCTGCTCATCAAGCCTGCATTTATTTGATAAAAAATACAGAACAAATGTAATATTATTACAATTTAAAATAATTGGTTTTCAATTTATTAGCCTATACTTTAAATTATCATTTATTTCTGTGATGCAAAGCTGAGTTTTCAGGATCATTACTCTAGTCTTCAGTGTCACATGTGACATCGTCTATCACATGATCCTTTGGAACTCATTCTAATATTCTGATTTATTATGAGTGTTGGAAACAGTTCTGCTGCTTAATATATATTTGATAAATAAAAGGTTAAAAAGAACTGCATTTATTCAAAAAATATATATATTTTCTAATAAAATAAATCTTCTTTACTATCACTTTTTATCAATTTAACACATCCTTGCTGAATAAAAGTATTGATTTTAAAAAAAAAGTAGTGTATTTCGTAGTTTAAAGGTTTCTTTTTAAAAAAAAAAAACATTTGCTGCTTTATTTTTTTACTTTTTATTCAAAGTATCCTAAAAAAGTATCACAGGTTATGAAAAAATATTAAGCAGCAGAACTGTTTCCAACTTTGATAATAAATCAGAATATTAGAATGAGTTCCAAAGGATCATGTGATGGATGGATGTCACATGTGACACTGAAGACTGGAGTAATGATCCTAAAAATTCAGCTTTGCATCACAGAAATAAATGATAATTTAAAGTATAATAAATTGAAAACCAATTATTTTAAATTATAATATCACAATACGACTTTTTTTCTGTATTTTTTATCAAATAAATGCAGGCTTGATGAGCAGAATAAACTTCTTTCAAAACATTACAAATAGTAATGTGTCGAATCTTGGCCTGTAGTGTTTATATTTTTAATTTGGACCTTAGTAAAATTTTATTCAGGACCCCTGCTCTAATGTATCTGTATCTAATTGATAATTTTCCTGGTTTCCCCTCTTTTGCCCTGCTGTGAAGGCCAAAAAAGACCACTGCAAAGAGAGTGGTGGTGATGAACCCTGGAGCCCCCCATCAGCACCATCCCCATCCAGAGGAGACGAGGTGCTCCGAGAGGAGCTTCTGTCATCCAGCGGGTCTGATGCAGATCCACTGGATAAGGACTACACACCATCTCCGTCACCATCATCCAGTGAAGATGAGTTACTTGCACTAGAGCCCCAGTCATCCTGCGACAATACTCCAGAGAAGCACCACAGTCATGCATCATCCAGTGAAACTGACACCAGAGAAGCTGAGAACCAGAAGGCCAAAGATACAGCAGTTCAAAAAGGTACAAAGTCAAAAGGAAAAGGGAAGTTTAAAGATGCCAAAAACATTACTGTTAAGAGAAGCATAAAAAAGGATGGAGCCAGAGTCTGGGACAAAGTCCATTACTGTGTCTTCTGTGAAAAGAGTCAATTGAAGATAGCTAGACATCTAGAAAGAAAACATAGTATGGAACGAGATGTTGCCTATGCTTTTAGTTTTCCAGTTGGCTCAAAACAAAGGAAGATTCTGATAGAAGGCCTTCGTAATAAGGGTGACTGGCAGCACAATCATATGGTCTTCAAGGAAGGAAATGGTGATATTGTAGTCTGGAAACGGCCCTCTGTGAAGGCAGACGTAGAGAGCTACCTACCATGTCAACACTGTTATGCAATGTTCAAGAGGACTGAACTCTGGAGACATGAGAAGTCATGTAGAGAACGGAAAGAGGAAAGGCAGAAAGGCAAAAGGGTACAAAAATCTTCCTCACATCTACTTCCACTCAAATCAGGCCAAGGAGTACAAAAGATCATCCACTCTATGCAACAAGATCATGTAACCTCTCACATCAGAAGTGATGAGATGATTTGTGCGTATGGAGATGCATTATTTGCAAAAAAGGGCCGTGAAGAATCTCAGCACAGATACATTGCACAAAAGCTGAGAGAACTAGGACGGTTCATGTTGGCTGCCAAGGAGATTGATAAGCATGCCAAAACTCTTAAAGACGTTTGTGATCCAGCAAAATTTAGACTTGCAATTGAAGCAGCCAGACACGTGTCAAACTATGATGTAATCAAGAACGAATATGGAAAGCCATCTACAGCTGTTAAAATTGGGTTTTCACTCAAAGGGGCCACTGAAGCCTGGATAGGCCACTGCTTGATGGACTCTGATGTCAAAACTGAGAAGAAGGCAAAAAAGTTCAAGGAGTTGCTGGAGAACTCATGGTCCATTCATGTGTCGACTAATGCTCATAGCTCATTGGAGCAACGCGCTGGGGCAAAGAAGACACTGTACCTCTGACAGAGGATGTGATCACGCTCCAGAACTACCTGAGGAAAGTGGAGGATGAGGCGAAGGCAGAGTTAACAGAGCGCGTGAGTACTACAGCATACAGGAAGTTAAGTGAGAGCCTTCTTGCACAAATAATTGTGTTCAATAAGAAGCGTGAAGGAGAAGCATCACGTTTAACCCTTGAGACAAATCTAAAAGCAGACACTGGTCCTGTTAATAAGGACATTTATGAGACCCTATCGCCTGTGGAAAAACAAATGAGCCACAGACTGACACGTTTGGTGACACGCGGAAAGAGAGGCAGAAAGGTGCCCATCCTCCTAATTGAGCGCACTAAAGCTTCGCTTGACTTCCTGATTGAAAAACGGAGGGAAGTTGGCATACTTGAGGAGAACCCCTTTCTGTTTGCCAGGCCTAGCACAACAACCAATCTCCGTGGGTGTGACTGCCTCAGGAGATATGCAGAAGAGAGCAAGGCCAAAAACCCAGAACTGCTGAGATCAACAAAGTTACGGAAACACGTTGCTACCTTATGTCAGCTTCTCGACCTCAGCAATCAGGAACTTGAGCAAGTTGCTCGTTTTATGGGACATGATATCCGAGTCCACTGCGAGTATTATCGACAGACAGATAAAACATTCCAAGTGGCCAAGATTGGCAAACTTCTGTTTGCGATGGATCATGGAGCAGAGTCACTGAAAGGGAAGAGTCTGCAAACACTGGACTCCGTTATCAGTGGTAATTAAATTATTATTATACAATTTTAAAGTTCTCCCTCTTCCAATTACACTGTCTTCTATCTGTCTTTCTGTCTGTCTTCATCTCTCTTTCTGACTTTGTCAACTGTGTGCATCTTTATTTATCTGCATATTTTTGACTTTCTTTTAATGTCACTGTAAAAGTAAGTTGAGCAATTTCCTACTGTAAATATTTCCATAGGCAAAAGACACGCAGCCACCCCAACTAAAGATCCAAAAGGTGTCAAAAAGAGAAGGTCAGATGCAGGACTTCAACAGGAAGCTCATGAAGGTATGTTCTAAAACTCTCACGAGTAGTCATATTAGGAACGCTATGCTCTTGTATTTAAATTGAAACTTTGAATCTTGTGGAAACAAATAAGCCTGATGTTTACATTGACCATACACAAAATCAACAAATAGTAATACAATCTAAATGTGACAAAAAGGGGTTTAACATTTTTGGTCTTTTTTGAGAGAAAAATACATTGAGAAAACAGAATTTAAATTCATAATGTTTCATATAAATCTATGGATGCTAACCGACCAAAAAAGCTTTTCTATACATGTATTTGCATTTCAAAAAAACGTATGTTGTGAATGATTGTCTGTCTGTTTCTAATGTATGCTTCATCAGATGGACGGCAGCTGTCCACCACAAGCTCATCAGTTCAAAGGACAAAGAAGGCGGTCACAACACAAAGACAAGAGGATGATGATGACTCCGCAGTATGGTCACTTGGGAAGAGACAATGTCAAACATCTAGAACAAGACATGAAGACGATGGTAATGCTGATGAGGATGATGGGACTGATAACATCGGTCAAGGCATTGAGGACATAGGTAACACTCTCAGTGTGACTTTAATCTTTCACTGCACCATTGTTATGTTTGTGGGCAATTTCATTCAACTAAAACATCATCTTGCAGTTATAGAGTTTTGCTGTAGCACTGGTGTATTTTTGAGATGCAGATGCAAGGACTTTGTCTCTATCAAAACATGTTCTTTTACAGATGGACTGGTGCACCAGGAAATAGGTGAAGGACAAATGGAGAGAACTGTAGAAAAACATGATGAAGGTAACTTTGGCACTAATTAAGTGTTCTTAAATCAGTGTTAGATATTTTTACTTCATTGAGGGGTCCATTTTGGTTTTCTTCATTCCAAAATATCAGTTATCAAATACGAAGGTTTGAAGTCGTTCAAAGAAATCCTCGGATGCGGCGCCGCGCGCTGTTACAAAAAAAGCCGTGCACACAGCCAAGCGAAGTGGGGACTTGCGCACCCAACTCGTCATTTTTGCCGCGCTCGTGCGGACACGTCGAGTATAAACAAGGCTTTACTCCGTGTCAGCGCGCGCTCTGATCGGTAAAGGTGCACAGACCTCTCCCGAATCATCTCCAGCAGTAGCAGCCTCCGAAGCACCACTAACTCCGCCTCTGTTTCCCTCGTAAGCTGATATTAGTATTTAAACATTCTCTATGATTAAAAATATTTTAATAACACGGTTTTGGTGGTTATAGAGTTCTAATGACGGTGTTCAACTATAACCGTCGGTCTCACGGTTATATAATAACCGTCACACCCCTAACTGAAATCTGTATTTCTCCCGTCTCAGGGGAAACTGAGGGAATGATGCACGACAATTCAAAAATATGACTGGGTTTCTAACGATATAAAGCTTAATGCAAATGGGTGAAGTGTCCTATTAATGTGTTTCCTAGATTAGTGCTGCATGATTAATCTGTTGTGAATTAATTAGAATAGAAATGTTTAAATAATTATCTTTAATAATAAGTCAAGTCAAATATATTTATATAGCGCTTTTCACAATACAGATTGTATCAAAGCTGCTTCACAGTATCAATCAAAACAACCTAAGAGTGTTTGTTTATTACTGGAAAAAAGACATCCAAGTTTGGTAGAGCTAATCAATGGTATGATGGGTCATTTAATTTGAAAATCCCCAAACTGAGCAAGCCAAAGCCAACAGTGGCAAGGAACCGAAAAACTCCATCCAGTGACCTAAAGGTGTCCTAACACACCATCAGATGACCCAATGGAGAAAAAAAAACCTTGGGAGAACCCAGGCTCAGTCGGGGCCAGTTCTCCTCTGGCGTTTATGAAGTAGAGGCCGAATTTACAGTAACTGTAAGATAAAAAATTTATATGAATGCCTGACTAAATAGATGCGTCTTTAGTCTAGTTTTAAACTGGGAGAACGAGTCTGAGCAACGAACAATATCAGGAAGGCTATTCCAGAGTTTTGGAGCTAAATGTGAAAATGCTCTCCCTCCTTTGGTGGATCTGGATATCCTAGGAATGACCAGAAGCCTCGAATTTAGTGATCTTAAAGAGCGCGGTGGATTGTAGGGCGATAGAAGATCCGTTAAATAGACTGGAGCTAAACCATTTAGGGCTTTATAAGTCAAAAGCAATACCTTGTAATTAATATGGAACTTTATAGGTAACCAATGAAGTGATGATAGAATCGGTGTTATATGATCATATTTTCTTGATCTAGTAAGAACTCTAGCGGCTGCATTTTGGACTAACTGTAGCTTGTTTATTGAAGATGCAGGACAACCAGCTAATAAAGCATTACAGTAATCTAGTCTCGAGGTCATGAATGCATGAACTAACTTTTCTGCATAAGAGACTGATAGCATATTACGTAGCTTAGCAATGTTTCTAAGGTGGAAAAAGGCTGTTTTTGTAACATATGAAATATGCTTTTCAAAAGACAGGTTGCAGTCTAATGTAACACCCAGGTCTTTTACTGTAGCGGATAAAGTAATAGGGCATCCTAATATGGTAAAGTCGTGCTGTGAGAGGTTTTGTGGACGGTTTTTAGAACCGATAAGTATTACCTCTGTCTTGTCTGGATTTAATAAAAGAAAATTACGCGTCATCCAATCTTTTATATCTTTAACACACTCTGTCAATTTGGATAATTTAGCGTATTCATCCGGCCGTGATGAAATATATATTTGAGTGTCATCGGCATAACAATGGAAACTAATTCCATGTTTCCTTAGAATATTACCAAGTGGCAGCATATATATTGAGAATAATAGAGGGCCTAACACAGATCCCTGCGGCACTCCATAGTTTGCCGAAGTTATGATCGATTTTTCTCCATTTAAGTAGACGAAATGGTAGCGGTCAGATAAGTATGACCTGAACCAGCTTAATGCTTGTCCTTGAACACCAGTGTAATTTTGTAGTCGATCTAAGAGTATTGTGTGATCTATAGTGTCGAACGCAGCACTAAGATCGAGTAAAACTAGTACTGAGATACAGCCTTGGTACGAAGCTAAAAGTAAATCATTTGTGATTCTAACAAGCGCAGTTTCAGTGCTATGATGTGGCCTGAATCCAGACTGAAACTTTTCATAGATGTCGTTTTCTTGCAAGAAAGAGCCGAGTTGAGCGGACACAACTTTTTCTAATATTTTTGACATGAATGGAAGATTTGAAATGGGTCTGTAGTTTGCTTGGTTATTTGGATCTAATTGTGGTTTCTTAATAAGAGGTTTTATAACTGCCAGCTTGAATGTTCTTCGAACATGACCTAAAGATAAAGACGAGTTAATGATATTGAGAAGAGGTATAACTTCTTCCCAGCTTTAACGTGTTAGGCTATTTAACGCAATTAACGCAGCATCCGTTCTTTCTGTAATAACAGAAACAGTGTTGTCATTTATAAGGTTGTTCAGCTTTAAGAAAAGTTTACCCAAAATGGATAGGGGGCTAGAGCGCGCAGATTGAACTAGAGAGAGAAGAGAGAAATGAAAATGACTCCATGTTTGTGCGCTATATCAATGTGTAATCCTGTTCATAAACTTAAGTAAACAGTTCGTTTTATTTAAATCAAGTCATCAATGGTCATTACTGCTTGTTAAGGAAGAAAAGATACGACATAATCAAATCGTAATCGCGATGTCAAGGCTATGCGATTATATGACGCAAAATGCTGCAATTTTACATGAAATAAACAAATAAGGGCTGTTAACGTAATTAACGCAGCATCTGTTATTTTTCTTCATCCTTTGGCTAGTGTTACATGATCCCGCTCTTATTCGTGCAAATGCCTTTTTAAACCATTCTTGCACGACTAGTCAAGAGCGCGCTGCCTGTGAATGTCCTGATTCACACACAGAAAGACACGCGCCAGAATAATTCGCATGCACAGACCGCACCCCAGAATACAGTTCTCTTTCGCGCTTGAACGAACAATAACACACACAATTATGCCAAAATATTGTTTTGTCGAGTATCTTCATAACATAACAGCCGTCTTATGATGGACGTGAAGAGTTGTGAGAGAATGAGGCGCGTGTGAGATCCGCGTCTCGGTCAGCAGCGGCTGCTCTTAAAGGGCCAGTAGCCAATAAAGCTCTGTCAGTAAAGTTGATCAAAGAATAAAGGGAACAGAACAGAGAAAATTACTCACTGCTCTTGACTAAATAACTTTTGTAGCTTTAAGGATTAGGGCCTAGTCTATGGCTCAATCCCAATTCACCCCTTGCCCCTACCCCTTGGCCCTACCCCTCCGTTTTGCGCGTTCACGTCAAGGGGTAGGGTGTCCCGATTCTTGTTTAGATCGAGGGGTAGGGCTAAGGGGTAGGGCTACATAGCCCTCGAAACGGAGATTTTTCAGAGGCACACTCCAAACGGAGGGCTATGAGAAAGTTCGCAGAATACATCGCGAATCACCGGCGAGATGGCTTCACAAACGGTTAAACATTTAAATTTAGCGCCAGATGACACCACTGTTCACTTTATTTACTCTTATAATAATGATATAGTCATTTAAATTAAGAAATTGTATAATAAATTACCTTTCCGAAACAGAAAAGAAATACTTTCGAGGAAGGAACGTTATACAGGGTTTCCGCGGGGTTGTAAAAGGTAGTAAAAGGTAGTAAATTAAATTATGCCAAATTAAGGCCAGTAAAAAGTAGTAAAAAGTAGTAAACGTCATCTGACGAAGTAGTAAATTTTCGAACCCCCATCCAACTAGGCCTATGAGTTTCAATTTGTGTTAAGTGCAGGACTTTGTTCTAAAATTCGCGTGGATTTATTTATATGTTGCGAGTAGGACCTGTGCGATATCATGTGACGTGGTGTTTGTTCGTTCGCGCGCGCTGAAACAAACTGGGTACCCGGCTGGCCTGGCTTGCTGCCCAACCTGTTCGCGAGTTCGCTTCTATTTCAGTCATCAGTCGGCCGCCAAAGCCATATTTGATCGGTGAGTAGCCTAATGTAGACGACTGACTGCTACGCTTGTGACAGGGTGCATGTTAACTGAAAGAAGGAACAGAGAGAGAGCCCCGGCTGCGCGCGCGCACTCAATTCACTCTTGCTCTCTCTCCCTCGCTCATATTAATCAAAATCAATTGACAGACACGATGGTAAAAGGTCGGAAGACCGAAGTTTCACGTGGTGCAATTGGAAATTTATTTCCCGCTGTGTGTGAATTGTGCTAAAAAAACGTTGCCTTATCTTCTCTCACGGCGTGTGCCACATTCAGCTGACATAACCACACTTTCAATAAAGGAAAAATCTATCCTAAAAAAACCTATTTGTTGACACAAATTTTGTGCGATGTCCTAACTGATGGGATAACCACACAATGCGTACACGTCCGCTAATGACGCGTCACTTTAATGAATGGTTAACACAACGGATCTGTCCTCACGGGACTTCTGAATCGGTAACACAATATGGTTCCATTTATTAAAATCTAGTTAACTACATTAGTTAACATGAACTATTAATAAACTGCACGTCTACATCATTAATTAATCTTTCTTAATGTCAATTTCACCATATAGCCTACATTATTGAAATCAAAAGTTGTATTTGTTAACATTAGTTAATGCACTGTGAAGTAATATGAACAAACAATTCATGTATGTTGTAAACTACGTAGTATTTTCAGGTTATTTATGTTATAATGTGTAGAAACATTGCAAAAAAAAAAAAAAAAATAGTTTAGACTGGAGTGAGGTGAAACCAGAAAAAAAGTGCAAAGCAAGTTGTTATCTAGCAGCAATTTTTGTTATTTAATTTAAAAAAAAAAAGTATCTGGCA